TTCAGACTCTTATTACAGAGCTTCAGTATTGAAAACAGCTTGGTATTGGCATAAAAACAAGGAAGTCGACCTATAGAATCGAATAGAAGACCCGGATATTAACCCCAAACCTATGAACACCTGATTTTTGACAAGGGAGCTAAAAGTATACAATGGAAGAAAGATAGCATCTTTAACAAATGGTGCTGGCATAACTGGATGTCAACCTGTAGAAGAATGAAAGTAGATCCATATCTATCACCATGCACAAAACTCAAGTCCAAATGGATTAAAGACCTCAATGTTAATCTGACCACATTGAACCTGATAGAAGAGAAAGTGGGAAGTAGTCTACAAGACATGGGCACAGGAGACCACTTCCTAGGTAGAACTCTAGTAGCACAGACAAGAGAAACAATGAATAAATGGGACCTCTTGAAACTGAGAAGCTTCTGTAAAGTAAAGGACACTGTCACTAAGACAAAAAGGCTACCTTCTGACTGGGAGAAGATCTTCACCAACCCCTCATCAGACAAAGGTCTGATCTCCAAAATATACAAAGAACTCACTACAAAAGCAAGACCTGAACAACCAAATATGGATGAACCAGAAGAAAATGATCTAAAAAATAACCTCATGAGAATGTTTGAAATTCTTAAAGATGAAATGAGAAATTACCTTAAAGAAATGGAGAAAAATACAAACATAAAATTGGAAGATATCAGCAAATCACTTAAAGAAAACCAAGAAAAAGAACCCAAACATAACAGAAACTATTCAGGACTTAAAAACTGAGATAGAAAAAAATAAAGAAAACACAAGCCAAAGGAATTATAGAAACAGAAATCATGAGAAAAAGACCAGAAATGACAAATGCAAGCATGAACAACAGAATACAAGAAATGGAAGAGAGAATCTCAAGTGCTGAAGATAAAACAGACTCATCAGTTAAAGAAAACATTAAATCTAACAAAAACTTAAACCAAAATATCCATGAAATATGGGACAACATAAAAAGGTCAAATCTTAGAATAATATGTGTAGAAAAAGAAGTAGTTCAACTCAAAGGCACAGAAAATTTATTTAACAAAATCATAGAAGAAAACTTCCCCTACCTAAAGAAAGATATGCCTTTGAAGATATAAGAAGCTTACAGAACACCAAATAGACTGGATCCAAAAAAAGTCCGCTCGCCACATAATAAATCAGTAAACATACAGAATAAAGAAAGAATATTAATAACTGCAAAGGAAAAAGGTCAAGTAACAATATAAATGTAGACCTATCAGAATTACACCTGACTTCTCAGTGGAGACAATGAAAGCCAGAAGGTCGTGGTCAAACATTATGCAGACATTAAGAGACCACAGATGCCAGCCCAGACTACTACCCAGCAAAACTGTCTATCACCATAGACGGACAAAACAAGATGTTTCATGACAAATCTAGATTTCACCAATACCTAGCCACAAACCCAGCCCTACACAAAATATTAGAAGGAGAACTCCAACCCAAGGAGTTTTTGGCTACCAACAAAAAAAAAATAAAGGGGGAAATTAAAGACTTCCTAAAATTCAATGAACATGACGACACAACTTACCCAAATTTATGGGACACAATGAAAGCAGTGTTAAGAGTCATGTTCATAGCACTAAATGTCTACATAAAGAAGCTGGAAAAATCCCACACTAGCGAATTAACGGAATATTTGAAAACTTTAGAACAAAAAGAAGCAAACTCATCTAAGAGAAGCAGACAGCAGTAAATAATCCAATTGAGAGCTGAAGTCAACAAAATAGAAACAAAGAAAACAAATCAAAGTATCAATGAGACAAAGAGTTGGTTCTTCCAGAAAAAAACAAAATAGACAAACCTTTATCCAAATTAACAAAAAGGCAGAGAAAGAATATCCAAATTAACACAATCAGAAATGAAAAGGGGACATAACAACAGATACAGAGGAAATACAAAAGATCATCAGGTCATATTTTGAAAACCTGTACTCCACAAAATTCCAAAACTTAAAGGAAATGGACAACGTTATGGATAAATATCACTTACCAAAATTAAATCAAGATCAGATAAGCAAATTAAACAGACCTATAACTGCGGAGGAAATAGAAACAGTCATCAAAAGTCTCCCAACCAAAAAAAGCCCAGGACCAGATGGTTTCAGCTCAGAATTTTACAAGACTTTCAAAGAAGAACTAATATCAATACTCCTCAAATTATTCCACACAATAGAAACAGGGGTATCATTGCCAAACTCTTTTTATGAGGCTACAATTACCCTGATGCCCAAACCACAGAAAGACAATACTAAGAAAGAGAATTACAGACCAATTTCATCCATGAACATTGATGCAAAAATACTAAATAAAATACGAGCAAATCGAATCCAAGAACACATCAGAACCATCATCCACCATGATCAAGTCAGCTTCATCCCAGAGACGCAGGGATGGTTCAACATACGAAAATCTGTCAACGTAATCCACCACATAAACAATTTGAAAAATAAAAACCACATGATCATCTCATTAGATGCCAAAAAAAGCACTTGACAAAATACAACATTCCTTCATGATAAAGGTCTTGGAGAGAGCAGGGATACAAGGAACATACATACCTAAACATAATCAAGGCAATATACAGCAAGCCTACAGCCAATATCAAACAAAATGGAGAGAAACTCCCAGAGATTCCACTGAAATCAGAAATAAGACAAGGTTGTCCATTCTCTCCATATCTATTCAATGTAGTTCTTGAGGTCCTAGCTAGAGCAATTAAGACACCAAAGGGAGATCAAGGGGATACAAATTGGAAAAGAAGTCAAACTCTCACTGTTTGCTAATGATATGATAGTTTACATAAGTGATCCCAAAAATTCTACCAAGGAACTTCTACAACTCAAACACTTTCAGCAATGCAGCAGGATACAAGATTAACTAAAAAAAAATCAGTAGCCCTCCTGTACACAGATGATAAAAGGGCTGGGGAAGAAATCAGAGAAACAACACTCTTCACAATAGCCACAAGTAGCATAAAATACCTTGGAGTAACTCTAACCAAACAAGTGGAAGACTTGTATGACAAGAATTTTAAATCTTTGAAGAAATTGAAGAAGTGGAAAGTGGAAAGATCTCCCATGTTCTTGGGTAGGCAGAATTAATATAGTAAAAATGGCAATCTTACTGAAAGCAATCTACAGATTCAACACAATGCCCAGCAAAATCCCAGCAAAATTCTTCAAAGACCGTGAAAGAATGATACTCAACTTCATTTGAAAAAGCAAAAAACCCAGGATAGCCAAAACAATCCTGGGTAATAAAAGAACTTTTGGAGGCATCACAATCCCTGGCATCAAACTCTACTACAGAGCCACAGTACTGAAAACAGCTTGGTACTGGCATAAAAACAGACAGGAGGAACAATGGAACCGAATAGAAGACCTGGATATCAATCTACACACCTTCAAACACCTGATTTTTAATAAAGAAGCAAAAAATATCAAATGGAAAAAAGAAAGCATATTTAACAAATGTTGCTGGCATAACTGGAAATCAACAGACCCATATCTATCTATCACCATGCACAAAACTCAAGTCCAAATGGATCAAAGATCTCAACATAAAGCCAGACACACTGAACCTTATAGAAAAAAAAAGTGGGAAGTACACTTGAATGCAATGGCACAGGGAAACACTTCCTAAATAGAACCCCAGCAGCACAGACACTGAGAGAAACAATTAATAAATGGGACCTCCTGAAACTGAAAAGCTTCTGTAAAGCGAAGGACACGGTCATTCAAGCCTACAGAATGGGAAAAAGATCTTCACTAACCCCACATCAGACAGAGGTCTGTCTCCAAAATATACAAAGAACTCAAGAAATTGGACACCAAAAGATCACATAATCCAATAAAAAAAAAAAAAAAGGAGTAAAGACCAAAACAGAGAACTCTCAACAGAGGAATCTAAAATGGCTGAAAGACACTTAAGGAAATGCTCAACATCCTTAGTCATCAGAGAAATGCAAATCAAAACAATTCTGAGATTCCATCTTATACCTGTGAGAATGGCCAAGATCAAAAACACTGATGACAACTTATGCTGAATAGGTTGTGGGGAAAAAAGAACACTTCTGCATTGCTGGTGGGAATACAAGCTGGTACAACCCCTTTGGATGTCAGTGTGGCGATTTCTCAGAAAATTAGGAAACAACCTTTCTCAAGACCCAATGATACCACTTTTGGGTATTTATCCAAAGGATGCTCAATCATACCACAAGGACATATGCTCAACTATGTTCATAGCAGCTTTGTTTGTCATAGCCAGAACCTGAAAACAACCTAAATGCCCCCTTACCCAAGAATGGATAAGAAAAATGTGGTACATTTACACAATAGAGTACTATACAGCAGTAAAAAATAACGACAGCTTGAATTTTGCAGGAAAATGGATGGAGCTAGAAAACATTACTTTGAGTGAGGTCACCCAGACACAGAAAGACAATTACCACATGTAAACTCACTCATAGGTGGTTTTTAAACATAAAGCAAAGAAAGCCAGTCTACAAACCACAATTCCAGAGAACTTAAGACAAGAATGCGGACACTAAGAGAGACTTACATAGATATAATCTACATGGGAAGTAGAAAGTAGAAAAAGACAAGATCTCCTGAGTAAATTGGGAGCATGGGAACCTTGGAGGAGGGTTGAAGGAGGGAGGGGAAAGGCAGGGTGGAGAGTGGAGAAAAATATAGAACTCAATAAATATCAATTTAAAAAAAGAGAGAGAGAGAGAGAGAGCACTTGCTGCTTTTCCAAAGGGGCTGGATTCAGTTCCTTGCACCCACATAAGGCAGCGCACAACTGCCTGTACCTCCAGTTCCAAAGGACCCAGCGCCCTCTTCTGGACTCCTCGGGTGCTCACACACATCGATACACAAAGGAATGAGAATAAGCCTTTTTTAGTGCTAAAACATGTACACGCATGTCATCTTCATATCCCACACTCACCTTCTTCACGGTCGAAGCTGGCTGTTTTTGTTTGAGTGGCCTATTAGTCTTCACTGGCTTTTCTGTAACCCTGTTGACAGTTCCCAAAGCCTTTCTGTTGGCTTTAGGCAAGGCTGGAGCATCGAACACTTTGCCAGCTTGAGGCACTGAGACCTGCGATTTCCCATCTAATGCCTTGACTGTTTTGACTGTTGAAAAAGAAAAAGTATAATCCCAAGAATATTAGGGGCTCAGTGGGTAAAGCTGCCAAACCTGACCACCTGAGTTCAATCCCCAGACCCCACACAGTGTAAGGGGAACTGATGGCCACAGGTTGTCTTCTGACCTCCACAGGCACCCATGGAATATGTATGCTCCCAAACACACACAAATAAAGGTAGTAAATACAGTGTTCTTAAAGATTAGACCATGTAAATATCTCATCAACTCAAGCCAATTCTCACCCACAAACCCATGCTTCATTTTTGGCAGTGGTTTAGTTTTTTTGTTTTTTGTTTTTTGGGTTTTTTTTGTCTTGTTTTGTTTTATTTTTTTGGTTTTTCAAGGCAAGGTTTCTCTGTAGTTTTGGAGCCTGTCCTGTAACTAGCTTTTGTAGACCAGGCTGGCCTCAGACTCACAGAGATCTTTATTGTCTTAATGAGGTTAATTTAAGAGTGTGCTGCCGGGTGGTAGTGGCGCACGCCTTTAATTCCAGCACTCTGGAGGCAGAGGCAGGCAGAACTCTGTGAGTTCCATGGGGGGGGGGGGGATAATGTCGGGCGGTGGGGGGCACATGCCTTTAATTCCAGCACTTGAGAGTCAGGACTGTTACACAGAGAAACCCGGTCTCAAAAAACCAGAAAGAAAAAGGAAAAAAAAAGACAATAAACATGAAAATATAACAAACCTGACTCCAATCAACCACAAAGTACACTAAACGCTACCGGCTCCAGGCCACGCCCATTGACCACTCAACACCTGTGTATTCAAAGGCAGCCCATACTTACCACCAGACCCCAGCTTCAACCCATCCTTAGATGCCAAACGGCTGCCTGGTTCTTCATTATCCTTATCAATAAAGATCAGAGTAGCCATCCTGGATTACTCTAGGGGAGAGACTTACATATCAGATTGGGGAAGGCATGAAGAGATAAGAACCAACAGAGACCAAGATTGGCTAAGGGTACATGTGCACAAAAAATTACAATTAAGCTGGTGAAGCCAACAGGCTTTATCCAGATCTTAACTCTTCAAGCCAGGGTCAGAAATACTAAACTCCTAAAGAGAAGGCAGTAGAAGTTGGCATCCATCAAAACTGTCTCCGGGCTGTAATCTGAGCGCTAGGGAGGAGACAGAAGGATCAGATAATCAAGACTGGTCTCCGAGACGTAACAAGTTCGAGACCACAAGCTGTTTGAAACCCTGAAGGAGGCAGAGAAGAAGAAAAATGAAACCAGCGTCGCCGCGGATCGAGCGCGCCAAGAGTGCCCAGGGACGCGGGGCCGAGTGAGGCTCACGTAGACCCAGCTTCGGCCTCCAGTCTGCCCGCCGCGCCCCCCACGCCCGGTCACCCCAGCTCACCCGCGATACCTTAACAGCCAGACTCACCCAAGACTGTACCACCAACGATCCCGCACACCGCGGTTTAAAACACAACTCGCGCCTCAATTGGTCCATCCGAGAGGAGGAGGGGCCTGGAATCTGAGAGCCAATGATAGCAATCGAAGTTTTCAGCCACCGCTTCCCCGCCACACACCCACACCCACCTGCATCTCTCTCCCAGGAATTAAAAAACTATGATCTTACTTTATCCAAAACTACTGATGGGATTTTTGTTTTCCACGGTGTGGACCTGCGAGAAGGCACTGGCCCAGTAACAAAAACATCGTTAAACATAACTTTAAACATTAAAATCTTTTTTATAACAAGGTTTCATGTGACCCAGGCTGTCCATGAACTAGCTTCCGGTCTCCCAAGGGCTGGGATTACTGTACCACCAGTCCAGGCTTACTTTTATGTTTTTAGCTTGTTTAAGACAGTCTTTTACTGCGCAGCGCAGACTTGTCTGGAACTCACTAGCCCAGAAATCAAAGTAGAAAGAGTGAATTCTCTAGGAGACGGGCATATACATTAGTTACTGGCTAAAAAGGCGAAAACGCATCAATAGAGACCAAACTTCATCCAGAACACACGTGCACAAAATCTTAGAGTAAACTAGAGAAACCAAGAGGCTTTTTCTAGACCTTAAATCTTCAGGTCAAAGTCAGAGGTCCTAAACTACAGAGAAGATGGTTTGGGTCTGCCCACATCCAAACAGTCTCCAAGGCTGGAGAGATGGCTCAGCAATGAAGAGCACTACTTGTTGCTCATGTGGAGGACCCTGGCTGCCCTGGAACTCACTATGTAGACCAGGCTGGTCTTGAACTTACAGAGATCCACCTGCCTGTGTCTGCTTATTTTTGAGTATTGTGGAAATTCGACAGGTTGAAGACAAATGGAGGTCATTTGTCTGATTGAACCAGGTCTTCTGATTGAAATAAGCACTGTTAATATCTTTGGAACCTTTTCCTACCTACACCCTTTTTACTATGTGTGTTTGATTACAGTTAATGGGAGTGAAGATTCCTTAGTCTGTTTGAGCACTCTCACAATGATGGGTCAGTTCCCATGTCAGGAGTTTTGTATATTCCTGAAAACATTATAAAGTTTTGTGATAGTAGGATATATGTCCTAGAATTTTCACCCATTCCCTCCTGCTGGATATTTGGATTCTTTTCAAAATGGCGGTGAAAGCCATACAGAGCCACAAGAGACTCTGCTGTGTGAGTTCCATAGAAATAAAATAGCAAAAATAGCAACAACAACAACAACAACAAAAATAGCGCAACGCCTTTAATCCCAGCACTCAGGAGGCAGATCACAGGTGGATCCCTGTGAGTTCAAGGCCAGCCTGGTCTACAAACCAAGTTCCAGGACAGCTGGGGCTTCAAAAGAAACCCTGTCTGGCACAATAACAAAAAGCAAATTTTCAAATCACTAACCAAATCCTGCATCTTACTGACAGTCTTCCCCTCTCTCCAGACACATAGGAGACACTTTGTTTCCTCAGAGCCAACAGATTCTGCTTAGCCTCAGGAGCTCTGCATAAATAATGCTGTCTGCCTACTAAAGGGATTCTTCAAAATGAAGAAACCAGGCGTAGCAACACAACCCCTTTAATCCCATCCTTGGAAAGCTGAGGCAAGTGGATCTCTGTGAGTTCCAGGTCAGCCTGGTTTACACAGCTCCTTTAGCCTGCCAAGACTACATAGTGAGGCCTTGTCTCCAAAAGAAGAAAAAATATTCAAAGAGAAGTGGAGGATGCACCTTGTTTTTCTCAAATGTCATAGGCAAAAACTTTGGTGCTGATAAAATTTAAGGAATGTACATTTATTTTTGAAAAGTTTCCCCAAAGTTTTTCTTGGGGGGGGCGGGGGCTATGTAACACTATAAAATACAGGACTGCCTTTTACGTGTACAGTTAAGAATTTGCACTGGGATCCGTCTTTTTACACCTCCTTAAATCTGCTTCCAAGCAAGGTGATGGTGCTAATGAATATGTACCTTGAGTTCCCTTTAAATTCGCTTACCAAATATATACTCTACACCTCTTAAAAGCAGAACACTATGCCAATCACGAAAAAGAAGAGTCTAACTGGAGGAGGAAGAGAATAAAGACAATGCCCCGCCCCCACCCTTACTGTTTCTTCTCTGCCCTATTCCTTTTATCCCCTTAATCTAATCTGTTTTCTCCTTGTATTTCCTTCTAAATTTTGTTTCTTCTTAAAAGAAATCTCTATAAATTCCCACAGCTTCCGCATGGACACTCTAATTCCTTAAGTTTTCTCCCTTTCTCACTGACAGGAACCATTGCTGCTTTTCCAAGGTCCTACTGCAAGCGTAAATTATATAACCACCCTGTCTTTAAAAGGCCATCATTTTCTTCATAACAATGTCCCTAGACGAGCTTTGTGATTCCCGTTTGTTATTAGGGAATAATGTACCCTGTTGGTTGGTAAACTACCCTCGTGTAGAATACAGAGTTTTTAGCTAATATATTTCTCCTTTTATAAAAAGCATTCATCCAGAGATGATCTCTGCTTTCTTGGTACCTCTAGAATCTTCTTGAGAACTCAAGCCTGAGGAAAAAATTCCTCCTTCTTGCCCAGAAAGTTCTATAATTCCTCTGAGGAAGCACCCCCCGGCCTTAACCCCCCAAAAAAAAACCCCCCCACCCCCCCCCCCCCCCCCCGCCCCGGGGGGGGGGGGGGTGTTAGCTACATTCATCTGTATCTGAAGAGAAATTCATGTGAGGGGGAAGTGTAAATAACCACAAGGGAACAAAGAAAAATTTCCAGGGAATGACTCAGTAGTCAAGAGAGCTTGCTGCTCTTGCAAAGGATCCCGGGTGGGGTACTCAGCATATATATGGTGGCTCCCGATATATATACACATACATACGTACACATTTCCAGTTCCGGAGGATCTGATGCCAATGACGTACAAATTCAGGTAAACTCATACACCTAAAAGAAACCCAATAATAAAGGAAGGAAGGAAGGAAGGAAGGAAGGAAGGAAGGAAGGAAGGAAGGAAGGAAGGAAGGAAGGAAGGAAGGAAGGAAAGAAGGAAAGAA